CCTTTCAGCTCCGGCGTTGGTCTTCCTTTGGTTATTATCTCCTGCTTTCGATTGAAAGTCCACTTGAGAAAACTTTTTTAGTGTTGTAATGTAGTCATCCATGTCGAAAGTTGGGATAAGCGAGAGGAAAAAAATCACTATCTCTATTATTATAATAGAGATAATGATTTTTTTCCTCCTAGATTATAATAGTATTATAATCTATCGCTGCACTTGACTTGCTTCCCGAATCGTTTAGCCTAGCTCGCTGTCACTTACTCGGCAGTTGAGGAGTGAACAAGACGAACGTCTGGGATCTTGAGCGCCCCCTACCATGAGGCAAGAGAACTGCCTGCCTCACCTCGAACCTGTTCTCTGCCGTTTATAATCGCTCATTACACGAAACACGTTACACAAACACAGTTGGTGACAAAAAGCACTGTACATTATATACATAAGCTAAATTATTGGAAATAAGTCCACATATTAAATTTGTTTAAACCATTTTATTGACGCCGTACAGCAACATGCTATCTCCGCTTAGCAGCCAGCGCAGAGCCAGGGGTTGCGCAATCCAAGGTGAGGCAGAGCTCGCTGCTGCCTCACCGGCATCGCTTCCAAGCATTTGAATGGGAAAATAAGAAAATCCAGCGATTTTGAACAAATAAAAATCGAAATTGGTGAAGCTACATGAAAAATAAATATTTTTTAGTACAAACCACCGGATGAATATAACAATTTAAATTACTTTATGATTATATATTTTCTTTCTTTCCATGATGGCTGGTGAGGCACTGCCTCACCTGCCTCCCCTGACCGCACGTCACTGTTCATTTATTCAAAAATTAAATGTAAATAAGGAAGAGAGAATAGAGAAATTCAAGCCCACAACCTGAGCTGCAGACAGGAAGCTGCCTCTGATGGACCAGTTCTGCTTGGGTTTCTGACCCGGACACGTTCTGCCAGGGTTACGTAGTTAGTTCATACTTATTCCAGCTTGTTGTAGTTCTTCCGTTTGGGTCAAGATTTTCCTGTTGACTTCCTAGAGGGGGCAGTGGGTGGCACCCCCTTCAAAATTTCTTTAGAAATATTTTCTAATTCCTCCCAATCTGTGATCTGTTTATCTCAAGGTCAAAAGCCCATGTTCTTGGAGCGGGAAATCGAGGGACCCTATTCAAAAGTAGTAGTAGTGAACAGGCAGTAGGTGGCCCCCCTCAAAATTTCCGCGACTTATAGTTCTCCTGTTACCGTCACAAATTGTGGCGCCTAACTAGTCCAGCACGGTTCGAGGGATCAGGCCCAAAAAACATCCCCACGTCTGAACCTACCACGGGAAGCGTGCTGGTATCTCTCTCTCTCATCAGTGCTGGCATTTTCAAATAAACAGCAAAAAAGGCGAACCACCGTCCCATAGGAAATGAATGGGAAGGCAGAAAAACAAGCCCAAAACATTGGCCGCTTTAGGGACTAATCGCTCGGCCCCATGACTTTTGATAAACCTCATTTGAAGATTAAACGGGTCATGAGAGATGGACCTAAAACATACTGGAGCCACGAGCCCTGATCCCACACCGTTTGGCCGCAATCACTGGTGACATTTTGGGAAAAATCTGAAAAATCCCCAATTGTCCTCTCCACTCTAGTGACATCATCACAGGCTCTGACTTTCCAGTGGGAAAAATGACACAAAAAGGCAAACTCCTTCCTCTCTCAAACCGGAGCAGAGAGGCCTCAGAATGTTTGAGCTGGACCCAGGGGGCCAGAACCCTAACCCTAACCCTGAGGGTTTCCTGCCTCCATATTGTTCTTTTCTGGTCACCACACTTTGTCAACCCAGGCTTGTCATACATCTGGTCCTGGTTCTGGTGCTGGATCTGGTTCTGCTGCAGGTCCTGGTCCTGGTCCTGGTTCTGCTGCAGGTCCTGGTGCTGGTCCTGGTCCTGCTGCAGGTCCTGGTCCTGGTTCTGCTGCAGGTCCTGGTGCTGGTCCTGCTGCAGGTCCTGGTCCTGGTTCTTGTCCTGGTCTTCGTTCTGGTCCTGCTGC